CATGAAACATGAATACCTTGTACATGTACTGGTAAAACCTTTGTTACATGTACTGTTAAAACCTTGTACATGTACTGGTATACCTTGTACATGTACTTGTATACCTTGTACATTATATTATTACATGGGTACAGATCAGTGGTAATAAAGTATTATGCAGCCCATACCCATCCTGTGGGTGGTAGTCAATGGATTACAGAGGCACATAATGGGTCCAGGACTGAAACCTCAACATTACAGAGGTACATAATGGGTCCGGGGACTGTACCTCAACATTACAGGGGTACATAAGGGGTTCCAGGGACAAAACCCTCAACTTTACAGAGGAAACATAATGGTCCAGGGACTATACCCAACATTACAGAGGTACATAATGGGTCCAGGGACTATACCTAAACTTTACAAAGGTACATAATGGATCCAGGGACTATACCTCAAAAATTACAGAGGTACATAATGGGTCCAGGGACTATACCTCAACATTACAAAGGTACATAATGGATCCAGGGACTATACCTCAACATTACAGAGGTACATAATGGGCCCAGGGACTATACCTCAACATTACAAAGGTACATAATGGATCCAGGGACTGTACCTCAACATTACAAAGGTACACAATGGATCCAGGGACTGTAACTCAACATCACAGAGGTATGTAATAGGTCCAGGGATTGTACCTCAACATTACAAAGGTATGTAATAGGTCCAGGGACTGTACCCCAAAGTTCTGATTCCAGCAGGATCTTGTTCCATGCCACACTTCCAGAAAAATGCTGACATTCTTCGAAGAGATTTATCTAAGCATTCCAGACCGGACTGGAAACTCTCCTGACCTCAACCCAGTTGATAATGTATGAACAATTACCAACACAGGATCGTGAAACAGGACTGTCCAACTGTGGAGAAGCTAATTGCTGTTGTAATTAGGATCTGGTACCTGGTACCACCACGAAGAACTTACCAAAATGTGGTCAACATTGGTTAATTATATGCTAAAGTGTGTAGCAATGCATTGAACAGACAAGGTCAGTCATATCCCTCGTTAAGTAAATTATCTCTAATATTATTGACGGATATTCTTTAAATTAACATTCGAAATATATTTCTTATTTCATCACTGACCCAATAAATATGGTCACTACTGTACTAGTGTGTGTAAGCAGGTGTTTTAATGCACTAACTCGCTTAATTATGTGTGCTAACACCTGCATTAGTAATGGAGGTAAATGCAGGTAAGTTGTTTACAAGTAAATGGGTGTACAGTGTGTATGTACGTGGGTGTACAGTGTGTATGTACGTGGGTGTACAGTGTGTATGTACGTGGGTGTACAGTGTGTATGTGTGTGTACAGTGTGTATGTATGTAGGTGTACAGTGTGTATGTACGTGGGTGTACAGTGTGTATGTGTGTGTACAGTGTGTATGTATGTGGGTGTACAGTGTGTATACGTGGGTGGGACAGTGGTGTATGTGTGGGGTACAGTGTGTATGTACGTGGGTGTACAGTGTGTATGTACGTGGGTGTACAGTGTGTATGTGTGTGTACAGTGTGTATGTACGGGGTGTACAGTGTGTATGTACGTGGGTGTACAGTGTGTATGTACGTGGGTGTACAGTGTGTATGTACGTGGGTGTACAGTGTGTATGTGTGTGTACAGTGTGTATGTATGTGGGTGTACAGTGTGTATGTACGTGGGTGTACAGTGTGTATGTACGGGTGTACAGTGTGTATGTGTGTGTACAGTGTGTATGTATGTGGGTGTACAGTGTGTATGTACGTGGGTGTACAGTGTGTATGTACGTGGGTGTACAGTGTGTATGTACGTGGGTGCACAGTGTGTGAGTACGTGGGTGGTTATTAGGTAAGACACATATGCAACAGTTAGGTATCTTTATTTCGAAACGTTTCGCCTACACAGTAGGCTTCTTCAGTCAAGTACAGAAAAGTTGATAGAAGCAGAAGATACTTGAAGACGATGTAATCAGTCCATCACCCTTAAAGTTTTGGATTTGAGAGGGACCTGACCTCTCAACATCTGAGTTCTTACCTCTCCTAGTGGCCTACGTCTCACCTCTTGGCGCTATAAAAAGCTCCATCCTGTCACTTCTTCTCCATATTGTTTCATACTATGGAACAATGCTCTTCTCCAGACTGAGGGACTGACCACCTCAAAACTTTAAGGGTGATGGACTGATTACATCGTCTTCAAGTATCTTCTGCTTCTATCAACTTTTCTGTACTTGACTGAAGAAGCCTACTGTGTAGGCGAAACGTTTCGAAATAAAGATACCTAACTGTTGCATATGTGTCTTACCTAACAATTTGTCGGTATTTTATACCATTTTAATGTTCAACGTGTACGTGGGTGTACAGTGTGTATGTACGTGGGTGTACAGTTTGTATGTACGTGGGTGTACACATGAACGTGAGTTCTGGAGGTTGCATGAGAGTGTATGTATATACATGGATAGACTGAGGGCACTGTCTATCCTACGAGGATAGACAGAGGGCACTATCTACTACGATAGAGGGCACTGTCTACTACGATATACAGAGGGCACCCTGCTACGATAGACAGAGGGCACCCTGCTACGATAGACAGAGGGCACCCTGCTACGATAGACAGAGGGCACCCTGCTACGATAGACAGAGGGCACCCTGCTACGATAGACAGAGGGCACCCTGCTACGATAGACAGAGGGCACTGTCTACTATGATAGACACAGGGCACTGTCTACTACGATGGGCAGGGCACTGTCAAATACGATAACAGAGGCACTGTATTCTACGATAGACAGAGGGCACTGTCTACTAAAGATAGACAGAGGGCACTGTCTACTACAATAGACAGAGGGCACTGTCTACTACGATAGAGGGCACTGTCTACTGCGATAGACAGAGGGCACTGTCTGCTACGATAGACAGAGGGCACTCTCTACTACGATAGACAGAGGGCACTGTCTACTACGATAGACAGAGGGCACTGTCTACTACGATAGACAGAGGGCCTGCTACGATAGACAGAGGGCAGTATCATATGCATTCAAGTTAGAGTAACTCCAGTTTCCTTGATCAAGAGCCCATTTCCTTGTTCCTATTCACCTTCCTGTTCATACCATCGTCTTTATAAGCCATAGTGAGTGAGAGAGAGAGAGAGAGAGAGGGGGGGGGGAGAAAGATAATGACCTCATTCCACCTCTAAATCGACAGGATGGGACCACCTCTACTAGTCGTCAAGAGAAGGCGGACCTCTTTGCTGAACACTTCTACCAAAATGCAAGTTGCTGATCCAGCAAGGGACCCTCCTTGGGTACTGCATGAACTTGTCAAAACTGTCAGTGGTGACAATAAGCAGGAGGGGTCATTTCCTTTTTAAAAACACTTGACCAAAAAGGCTGTGAGCCCCGACAAGTTGAACCCCCAAAATTTTTGGATGTGTTGCCACTAGCAGCACCCTAAATGCATCTTTTAGCACGCCTTAAGTTAAATGGCCCCTCTATGGAAAGAGGCAAATGTATCCCTGTTCACAAAAAAAAGAGCAAAAAAGAAAAACAGCAACTACAGACCAGTGTCACCCTGCAATCACTGGAAGATCCTTTTGAAATAATCCAAGACAAAAAACAGATTTTTTGACTACCACTAACTTTGTGATCGTCAAAAGGCTTTAGGAAAGGTTACTCTGCTTTTTCTTTTTTA